AACAACAATAACAACAAAATAAAGATCAATGACACCTGCTCAGCTGTAAAAACAGCTGATCATGATGATGACGATGATCAAGTAATAATAATGTGTGATCTATGCATAGTTTGAGTAGTCTAGTCTGTTTTCTTATCTTACTGATTTTAGGACAGAAATAAACAAACAAAAAAGATGGTTTTTTCTCTATTTTTCTTCTTCTTATTTCTGTTACTTAGTTAAACAGAAGTTATTTCGAATTCGTTTACATAATACATAGATTGAATTTATATTAAATTTCTTAAAATAAGGTTAAATAGTTACGATGTCACTTCATTTTGACATTGATATATTTTCTTTAGAATAAATCAATAGGTCAATTGTTTGTTATTCAACAGTAGTTAAGTGAAATTACATTTTCTGATCTAACAATAAATATTTATTGGTTGAAATCATGAGTTAATTGAAGCTAGACTACCATGAAAAACCTGGATACACTGGACGGCCGTTTCGTCTTATCACTGGACTCCTCAGCAGTGAGAATCCACGATCCCGCCCCTCGCAAGAAGTCGTTACCAGTGGAGTTCAACCAGGTATGTTGTGAGATATAAACTCACTGAAGACAATGGTGTACGGTGGCGCAACCTCATGGATTGGTTGAAGTTAGACATTAACACAGTTGGATGCCGGCCGGCTCAGTGGTCTAGTTTGTTAAGCGCCTGGCGCGAGACTGATAGGTCCTGGGTTCGAATTTCACGGGGGGGCGGGATCGTGGATGCGCACTGCTGAGGAGTCCAGTGATAAGACGAAACGGCCGTCCAGTGCATCCAGGTTCTCCATGGTGGTCTAGCTTCAGTTGACTCATGACTTCAACCAGTGAGATTTCTAAAATCTCCGCAAAACTCATTCTGATAATAAATATTTAATTGATTAACAGCAGAAGGGTTTTTGTGCGTGTGTGTGTAGATATTATTAGTAATTTTAGTAGTTGAGATCATGAGTTAATTGAAGCTAGACTACCATGGAAAAATTGACAGAAGACCGACAGATCTTGGGTTCAAATCTTATGTGGCGGGATCAGGGATGTGAATTGTCGAAGAGTCCCACAATAGGATGAAACGACTGCTGTTCAGCATTTCAATGTTTTTAAATGATTCATGATCTCAGCTATTAAATAATTTTTGTAAGTAGTTACTTTCTACAAATTTTATTTGTATTCAGTTCATTTATTAATGTTTTCTGTCAATTTTCTTTAATATTAGAAGCGGTTTTGTGGAGATTTTAGTAATTTCAATAATTGAAGTTAAACATTAACACCGGTTAGCTCAGTGGTCTAATGGTTAGGCGCTCGCGCGCGAGACTGATAGGCCCTGAGTTCGAATCTCGCGAGGCGGGGTCGTGGGTGTACACTGCAGAGGAGTCCCGTACTAGGACGAAACGGCCGTCCAATGCTTCCAGGTCTTTTATGTTGGTCTAGCTTCAATTGCCTCATTTTAAGTTTAAAGTTTTTTTCTTATACACACTAAATTACATCTTGATAATGAAATTCAGTTTACGATTGTGTAATACAAAATAAGGGTGTAAGGTCTTTTAAGGTTTTTGATATAGTTTCATCTGTAATAGAATAGTTTTCCCATCTCAGTTCCCATTATTTGAGGAATCATTGAAAGCATTCAGAAGTTAAATGTATCACTATTTTTCGCCTACAATTCCGTTTGGAACTTCTCTAGGGCTATTGCCGGTTCTAAGCCCGGTTAAACGAGGAGGGTTAGACATGGGGTTAGAGACCCCATCCTGTGGAAAACTAACTCGCTAAAAAGCGCTAACCAGAAAAAAATAATTCAAACCATTTAAACTCTTTCCTCGGAGTTAGGTCTTTATTTAGAAGAGTTATGACGCCTCATGGTGAAAGCCGACTTTCATCGGAAGTAACGAGGCTGATGCCCCTTCTGATAACCAGAGCAACCATTAATTTAGACACATGGAACGCTCGTACAATGTGGAGACCGGAAGAGTCATCCAAATTGCTGCAGAAATTTTTCACCTACTAACCGTTTAACAATAGAACCTTTGTATAACTATTTTGCATTTTTTGGAAGGAAAATAAATTTTAAGGAGCTATATCTGGTGAGTAGGGAGAATATTATAGCATAAACTGAACAGTATCACACAAATTTGCTTGTAGACTACCCCTCAAGTTGTTTAGAATTCCCACAATACTTATTTTGACCATGGTGAACAACACAACGAACTGTTAAATTTTCATAGGTTAAATCATGGACCGATCTTAGTTAGACCCCTGATGAAAACCGGAAAGTATTGGACAGCTGTTTCGTTCAAGTATGGGACTCATAAGGATTGGATATTCACGACTCCCACCATAGGGGATCAGACTGAAAACCTGCGGTCTCGCTTAACATGTAGACTACTAGGCTAAATCAAAATTCCATTCAGTGCTTTTTGATGTTCTAAAGAAGTTCGTTCCTGGATATAAACTATGAAAATAATACGAACACTAAAAATCACGCAACATAATCTTGATTTTTGACTGACTTTTGTGACACTGTCGTTCATAGTCCTTACCTTACTTTCGATTTCTTGCTGTCAGATTTCATCTTTTCGTCATGGTCATATGATTAAATGTTTTATTTGTCCGTTGTAACAGACTGCAATCTGAAGAACATACAACCATACCATTCACATTAGCTATATGTTATTTATAGAACCATTTATGGTGTGAACCTGTGATGATTATGAGTATTTGAATTATTGTACAAATTAGGAATCCCATAAATAACGCAATTTAACAAAGAAGAACTAATATGAGCACGAAAGAACATATTGCATTTGGGATTCGAAATAAGACAGTCATCAAGTACAAAGGAATTATTAGTTCATACAAACACCACAGAACCCGTCTACTAACTTTACATTTAACTAGCTTTTATCACAATACGACGGATTCATCAAACTTCGAACGGAATTTCAACTAGAAATATGGTTGAAAAAAGAGGAAAATTATTCAAAGGATAACTTAATGCTTCAAATATATGAATCAATTGAAGCTAAACCACCACGGAAGACCTGGAAGCATTGGATGACCGTCTTGTCCTAGTGTGGGACTGCTTCGCACTGAACAACCACGACCCGGCCTCGCGAGACTCGAACCAACGACCTATCAGTCTTGCGAGCGTCTAACCACTAGACCACTGAACCGGTGGTCTCCAAGAGGTATTTCCTGGAGTTATATTGAGCTGTGACCAATGGAGTTCAACCAGGCCTGTTGTGAAATAGTAACTCATTGAAGACAATGGTGAGCGGCAGCTCAATTTCGTGGATTAGTTGAAGTTAGACATTAACACCGTTGGATACTGGCTCAGTGGTTAAGCACTTGCGTGCGAGACCGCCAGGTCCTGGGTTCGAACCTCGCAGGGCGGGACCGTGCATGCGCACTGCTGATTCCCATACTGGGACAAAACGGACGTCCAATGATTCCACGTTTTCCATGGTGGTCTAGCTTCAATTGACTCATGTATTCAACTATTAAATTACTATAACATCCACAAAAACCCTTCTTTGACTTTATATATTTCACTAAGAGAAACTATTCAAGGAAGTTTCCCACAAAATGGTCACTGGAATGCATTACTTTCAAACCATGTGTTTATATTTATGCTTTTCTGGGTACAACGTATATAGGCCGTAGCCAGTGCTTGCTTCCAACTCGGATACGAGAACATGTCCCAGTGTGATTCCACAAGGGTGAGAGGAAAGCATTTAAAAGTTCTATTCTTGAACACTTAATCGTCCTACTGATCCACAGGTTGATTTTAAGGTTGTTAATACAATTCCTCTAAATGTACCTAGATTTCTTCGTATCCAACTCCTTAAAACAGCAGAAGCGCTTACCATCCATGAGCTGAAGCCTGAACTGCGCATATAAACGAAGTATGTTGTATCGTAATCTTGGCCTTAATCTATTATTTCATTCCGAATTTGAAAATATCCTCCTCTCCATTTACTTATGCCTCATATCCTCATGATTTCATTCATAATTCTTTCGGATATCACTTCGTTTAATTTTGCGCCTTGATTACCTTTAATTATTGTAACAAAAACATTTTAATCATCTTACTTCATTCACATTACAATCCGTTGTTAACTTCTTAGTTCTTATTTGTACATACACAATCTTCTATTGTAATCATCCATATTACGCAATCTAATAATGTAATCTTACTACATTATCATATTTATTCCTTGTTCATATATCCTCATGGAACTAGTACTTTGAAAAATTTCATACACATATATGATTGTACAGCTTGTTAATAAATTTGTTGAACTTCATGTTTTCTATATATACAGTAAGTTTAACTCAATTAACAATGACGAAACAAGAGAAACGATTTCTTAGAGCTAATCAATAAATTTCAATATTTTAGAACCGATGAAAACCATGATGGATTGAATAGCTGTTTTTTCTTGTTTGAAATCTCTAGGCCCTGGGCTTCTACGAACCTTCAATGGTCTTACGAAAATAGTTATCTTTCGACTTTCTCTTTACGGGAAACATTCTAAATGTTTTTGAAGTCAGCCTGATCCTATGTTGTAGCTGACTTGATAGCCAAAATTGGTATAGAGCCTGAAATATGCGTTAGCGTAGCAAAATGAAATTAACGAGATAAATACCAAACGACTCACAACGATAGTAGTCCTGATAATAGTGAGACTAGAAGTTGAGGATATGGTTCGGAAAGGAATGAAAAGACCTAGAGTAGGATAAAAGGTGAGTACGGTTGAACCGTTGTCCCTAAATCCGAGCCAAGTTACTCAACGTTCTTAACCACTGGTAGTGATTATAACACGGACCCTAACCACGTGTATTCCATGCCTACCAACACAGCTAAGTTCAATACTCAACAATTTCATGGACTAATATCTCCGGTTTTTTACCAATCTATTCGTATTTCAGACAATAGTGCGAATTCAAATAGACGGTAGCCAAGCATATTTAAGACGTAATTGTATTTTTAGAAAGAAACAAGTTTTTAAATTATCTCGGAGATAAATTCTATTAAAAAAAGTGACGATTGATTTTGCTGGATACAACAAAATGATTAAAACCAATTGAAAAAGATATCTTTATAAATAATTATACAATTTTTTTGTACAAATATAGGAACTGTAAAAACATTAATAAAAGGCATAGTTATTTTACTCTCATTTTTATTTGACGTGAATGGGCAGGCGAATTGGGTGTATCATTGAAAAATGGAGTATCTACAGGACGAGTTTTTAAACGAGACCTTTTATCATTTTTATGTGTTGAATCAGAATGTTTGGAAATTCTATCTGATGGCATTTCAGAGTGTTTTGATGAAGTATGTTTATAAGATTTATGTTGCTGGTGATGTTCATCATGATGACGATTGCTATGTGACTTCTTTTGTAATTTATGCTTATCTTTAGAATGTTTTCTCTTTTTACGATGCTTTTCATCATTTGAACAACTCGACTCTGATTCACTACTACTACTATCACCACTAGAAGATGAATTTGAAGAAGACGATGAAGATGAAATTGATATATCACCTAAGACGGATGATGATAGTTTATTCTTGGATTCAGATTCTTTTTTTGCTAGAGCTGAATCACGTGATGCTTGTAAATGTTCACGAAGGTCTAAGGTTAAACCACCTAAACCAATTGTGGTCAAAAAATTAATAGCAAATCGTGTATCTTTAGGATTATCACGTGGTAGGAGACCAGCAAAAAATGGCTGAAGTGTCTCATCACGAAGTCTTGCTTGTAACTTCGACAAGCCCATAAATGAGCAAAGTTCCAGAAAAAGATGCTTGAGAAATATACGTCCAGAAGAAGTTGTATCACGTTCATTCAAGCGTACACATTCAAATACACCCCATGATATAGAATCAGAGTATAAAAGATGGGCAAACAAGAAAGCAACATTACGTAATTTTGCAGTTTCCAATCTATGAATAATTGAGTATTGTTCAGAGAAAATCTTTTCAAACTGAGCAACATAACTACGGGGTGGACCTGATTCTTCTACAACTGGTGCAGGAGTTTCTTCTTTCGCTGTAGGCTTACTGACCTCTTTATTACTTCGATATCGACTACCGGGACCTAAGTCGGAGCTTACAGAAACAGTAGTAGATCCCGTGCTGGATGGGGTACTAGATGGAAAGACAACTCGGCAAAGCCTTTGAGCTAATCGACCATAACGACTTTCATAACTACGTGTTTGAGCACAACAATCTAAAACCATAGAAGCTACTTCATACTCTTCTCCAGGTTTAATTTTCAACTGCAGAAGACGATGTCCAGCTTCATCTGCACTTAAACTACTTTGCAGCATCAAGTAGATGGTACGACGTAGGTGGACTAGATTTGTTTCTGTTTGATCAATAATTGTTTGTTGATTCTCTGCAGTTGCAGCGGCACTACGTTTATGTTCTTCATCCTCTTCATCACCGTCATCATCTTCATCACCTGATTCGTCTGAATCTTCACCTTCATTTCCACCATCTGACTCAGCTTCTGAATCTTCATTCGATTCAAATAATGCTGCTCTGATTTCAGCATACTTTGCTTCATTTGCCAAGAATTCTGGATCGAATTTAAACACATTCAAATGTTCCTCTGGATCTACTTGATCAAGAAGTGAAGTTGTATGAGTGATTTGATCACTTTCTTGAATTAAATCAAGTTCTGGCAAGACAATCGGATGATCTTTCCATCCATCACGACGAATCTGCACGAAAATATGTAAAAAAAATACAATATCAAATTTTTTTTATCACCGAGAAATCTATTTGTTTATCAGGATACTCATCTAACTTAATTGCAAACATTTACTTATATTTTTAAAATATCATTCGTCATCAGTTTTGAGCAGTCAAACAGAGAGAACGTATAGCTAAACAATTTGGTGTTATATGTCCATATAACTCAAAACCATATCTACAAGAAAGTTCCCTAAGGCTACGGACTAAGAAAATTGTTTTGGAAAGATTAATGTGTTGTGTTTGAGGGTTCAATCGAGTCCCTAAATACAGACTCTTAAAAACTTGACCAATCAACTATGGGGTGGGAGAAAACGAAGAATATAAGTAGAATTACTGTCAAAGTCGAAAAACATTTAACACAACTTAAGTGTATAATATAAGTTACCAGGCTGAACAAGACACACATGTTAACCTTGACCATGGTCAGGTAAGTAGTCCACTTACTCAAAATAAACCATCCACACTTTCGTCTCTCACCTATCATTTGATTCTGGAACAACACGTGATTGAGTTAGGTTTGGCATTCATATCATTATGAAGCTATATTTCCCTGTTAAGATCACAGTTAATTGATTCAATTATTATGAATGGTCTAATACAAATCAACAGTATTAAAACACGTATAGAAAATATTTGTAAAAACACCATCCAAACCAACTGAATTATCAGTTGATATTCATTTGAAAGTGAATTCACGGCCAAGAAGCCAACAATTTCAAAGTTAAAACTGTCCATAAAGGGCGGCCTGCTTGAGCGTCTGGGCTACCTGTTCCTGCCATCTAGATACTTCAACAAGTTATCTATTTTTGTTTGTTTTAATATATCATTATGTTTATTAATCGCATAACCTATTCTGCCACATTTCTGAAAAGTGTACAACCTTTTGTTGTCAAAGTTACAAAAAACTCAATAAGAGACAATGTGGTTGCTGGCAATATACAACGAGAAGAATGCACATTATTCAGATGTTCATTTACTGGAGTGCTAACATCTAACTGGCGATCACTCAATATTTATCGCCAGGACCGACCAAGGAGAAAGAAACGGAAACTTGTTGAAATACTTTGCGCTGAGAATTCTATATTGTACCAAAAATATAATATTGAATAAAGCTAATAATAATAATAATAATGTGTGCTAACGCATAACCGTTTTTGTTTGTTGCACTATACTACTTGTCGTTATTCAGTAGTTAATATTATACTCAACCATTTCCATGACATGAGTGTTGAGACGAATATCTTTCTGTAACAACGAACTATTACTAATAGAAATCATTTGTAACCATATTTCTATGATTTAGCTCATTTTACACTCGCAATAATATTTTTTCCTATTTTTACTGTTCGATCTATATTGCCCCTAAATGCCCTGGTATGGCCGAGGGTGAAGAAAGTCCGCTCTCCCTCTCGAAATGCTCTCGCATGGCCACGTGCATACAACCACTGCCAGGGAACTACTCACCGCCTTCTCGCAGCATTACTGTTATTTACCAAATTGAGAGGACCAAAATAGAATTCCGGCGCTCTAACCGGGTTGTTGGGTATGGAGTTGGAAAACCCTGATTCCAAATCAATGACGCACATGGGCTGCAGTATCATGAAGGAACAAATGTCCTGTGAACCTATTATTGATCACCAGCTACCATGGTACTGCATCCCCTCACGCTGCTCGATTGCCTTGTAAACCGGACCTTTAAATCGAAGACTCGGGGTGTGGCCCTCTAAGAAAACCACCTGCTTCGGCATCCGGGCAGTATTATAGTCCACACACAAATCAAGTTACTAGTGTAGCGCATATGTAATTGGTGCTCTTTTGTACCAATATTTATGTGTTCAAACAAATAATAAAACGATCTATATTTGTTTGCGATTCCTTGAACCTTTGTGCCTTGATTGGCTTGTCCTATTCTTGAAATACATATGAATCATTGTTACCTGTTTGAAGCAAACGTGTGATATCCTACCGTTTATAATATATGATATAAATTTCTTCTTATTTTAGGTTAATAACTTCTTTTTGATTAAACTTTGGATAATAAAATAGATATCTAGATACAATATGACTCGGGTTTTGTAACTTCATATTGTTTATATTATTCTCTAAAATAGTATCATATTTTCAGACGAATTTCATCTTTTAGTCTTGGGATTACATGAATAACTACTCGGTTGTGGGGCTATAAAGGCACAACAAATTTTACATGAATATACCACGATAAACAGATATACACACATCAGGGAGATTAATTACTGAATTAAAAAGTCGAATTGATTCAACGATAAATAGATTTTATGTCATATTCTAATTTCAGGTCATTTTTGTGAAACCGCATGAATCCCAGTAAATGCAGACCATGAAACTACTGTGAAAATTTAATCATAGCCACTATCCAACTTGACTTAAAGATGCTTATGAATAAATGACAATATCGAGGCAATCCGCTGAGAATGCCAACATAGACTGATCAATTGTAGTTTTTAACATCAACAAGGGGAAGAATATTAATACAACCTTTACAAATGGCATGATTCAACTTGTTTTAATTAATTAGAGATGAAACCTATGATGGTTTCCCTTACTGAAACAATAAAAGTTTTAATAACAATGAGAAGTAAAGTCAAAAACCTCACCTGAAACATAACTTCTAACATATAAGAAATACGTTTATCACATTGACCTTCATTTAAGATACGTCGAAGATGTTCGAAAATTCCATGAACACCTTTCGGTACAAGACGTGAAAGCATAGCACCACATTCTTTAAGGACAGATACTGCCACTTCTACACTGTCATCGGTTGTTTGCTCCAGTAGTAGCGTCAATAATTCCAGGATTATTAATTCATGAACAACTTTTTGGTTGACCAAATGGGCTAGAAATCGTGCAGTAGACAAACATCGATCTTTCTGATTACGTCGAAATGCTTTACGGAATTCATTGATTAATCGTTTAAGAACCAGTTCTCCGACCTGGTAATGACGATAATAAAAAGACAATTGATAAAGTGCTGGATTTCACCTTATTCTATTTTAACACATAGACAATGGTACAAGGAGGCACCAAATACATATGCGCCACACAGATCTCATTTGATATGGATTTCACTATATATGCATGATAATAATAATAATTGAATAATACGCCGAAATTATACTACAATTAAGGATGTAATTTTTAAAAATTATTCCATGGTTTCTGTTATTTTGCAGTTGTTCATCTAGAATCGATTCACCGAAAATTTCCCGAAAATATTTGAATCTCAAAAGATGACCAATTAATTTAAAGAAAAATTGTTAAGTCCAGTCGCTAAAACGAATCTCTGCTATAATTAAACAGCCGGACGCAGTTGCTAGATTAACGTTGTGGTCAGGTTTGTATGTAGTGATGACCCAGATGAACTACATTGTCTGAAACACTTTCTCTTCTAGGTCTTACCATTCCAGCCAGGTTGGTTGGAGCACGGTAAAACTCAAGGCGGCAACTTAAGATATGAGGGAGAAGTTATGCCGGCAGTAAGGTGTTATCAGAAAACAGCATTTACAACGAGGTTAGAAAAGGTCGGGCTTAGAAATAGCACACCTCATCTTGCCCAATGGACTTCTAACGCTAGCGTTAGAGCTTTTGCAGTACACAGCTAACACGTCAAGAACCCCTCGTGAGATCATGTTTTACCGAAATCAAGAAGATATCACGTGAAATCTGTGGTCACATCTAAAGGCCGCCAAGACTGCTAATAATGCAGTTTCCCCTCTGAGTATCTCAAGAAGAGATGGTTTAATCTTAGCAACCACTAACTTTAAACATAAAGACATCGTCTAACATGGTGACTTCCACAACAGACTAAAGGAAGGACACAGATAGACCACACTGCCATAGGTCATCGTTGAACAGACTCGATAGAAGAATACCGCTCATTTTAGGGTACATGTTTAAACTTTGATCACGTTGTAATGCGAGCGTGTGTGTTTTGGCCTTACGAAATACATGGAAGACGTGGTAAGAAGATCGATTAGAGTGATGAAGCAGTTAGTCGGTCGCCAAAGTTATGTCTAACCCGATGTAGATTAGTATGATATCTAGATGACTGTGAAAACACCAGTGATATCTACGAGAGATGATAGCCAAAGGGTTAAAAGAATCAGTGGATTTTAAACGCAGACTAGCAAAAAGTCTACGTAATGACAGTGAACGGTAGAGGGCAGATAAAGCAAGACCGATGGAAAAGGCGGTACTGAGTGATAATATTAGATAACAGTTTAATCGTTCTCCAAATACCTTTCAGTTGCCTACTTTTAACAAGCACCCTGAATGGAATGTCAATATAAAGCTCATGATCCCTATTGAGGTAGAAAAACCCACAGCAAGAGAGATAAACTAACTCGAGAGATCTTTAAGGATGGTAGTCTAGTTTTGGCGATATTAGCTAGAATATGGGGACCGGACGTGATCTCATCTGACTAGTCTCGATCGCTGATCCTTATAGACTAGATGTGTGGCGCATATATATCTGGCGCTCCCTTGTATCAACATTTGTGTCCAAATAAATAAATAAATAGACTATAAGAAAGGAGAAAAGTGCTCTTGTGATAACCATAGTCAGTTTAAATAAATATCGTGTCTAAAATATTAGCCTCAACAGACCTCCAACGTTTGTTTATCTAGGGGTCATAAAGGGCGAACCTGAGAAAATAAGGCAGGTTTCAGACCTGAACATGGATGTACACACTAAATATTCACTCCTCGTCAGGTTTTAAGACGTAAACATACATACCAGTACCAGAAAATAGTTGTATTCTTTGATCTTAAGGATGTATTCAGCTCCACTAACAGAGGGTTTGTGACAGTTTGTCATTGAAAGGAGTACCGAAGTGGATAAACTCTGTAAAGTATCTAAACTTGAACACTGCTGATTGTTAGAGCTTATGGAGAGCTGTCATAAGAATTTATAACATGAGTGTCTTTTAAGTTTGTCCACTTTCTCCATCTTGACTTAAGTTTGTGATAGACATCTTTTTTAGCGATCACGCTTTCGTCCTCTGAATTTTCAGGGATTGGTCTACCACTTGACAGACTTACTTATTGACCTTGAATAGCCAGATTATATAGGTCTACCTGGCAAAAATGCTGGCTTAATTCAGGATTTTCTAATTGCTTTAAGCGACAATCCAAATATTCATGGGATGTGTAATTCCCTTTAAATGGAAAATTTTGCTTCAAGCATCATCCGTACCATCACCCAGCTGATCATAAGAAGTGAAGTGGATGGGCGTGTTGATTACTTTATTTACCTTGAAAGTCACTCGAGTCTTGATGGTTGATGTAATTAAATCTCAGAAACGTTGGTTGGCGTTTCTGAACTTGCGCCACACAGTGATTTCAAAACTGTCTTTTATTAATTTACGGTATGCATTTTCCCTTCTAGAACAAAGAGATTTGATCAAGATATTCTGTTATCGTGAATGTACAGCATCACACAAATGTGCGTTAACCAAAGTCTAGCGATATATTAATATTTGATTTCACATATATAATTTCATAAACTGATAGCATTTCGCTTACCTTGGGAAATTTCGAATTGACAACAGCAACAAGGGCCGAAAAAACATGAGTGAAAGTTGGTGACGCCGATTGTGCGGTTAAAAGGGATCTAACGAATAAACCTCTACCTCTAACAATATTTTCCGTAAGTAGCTGTTTGACAACTTCAGATAAGTTGGATACATTCACTTTATTAATAAAACCATGGATGGACTTTTTCAGTGCTTCCCAAGCAATTCGTTGATAGGCCTCAGATGATTTGTCAGTTATCTGGGCTTGCATTTGGCGAAGTCGACCAGGGGAATATACGCACCACCAGTTTTACCAAATATGTTGGCGAATTTGTCAGGATTTTTTGACGAATCATCTTTCTTAGGGTTCTCCGACACAGAGCTACTCTTCTCATTTTCTGGACTATATCTAGCACGTTTAGTCCCACGATCCATTGCGACAATAATTGTTGAAGAACTGTATCAAGTTGATTAGGTTCACTATTTCTGTCAGCTTGGTATTACTAAAAAGGCACATACACGACGACGTTAGGTTACGCATAAAACAGATACCCAATGAGTGTTTGAACAACCAATACGGGATTATAACAAGGAATACTTATGTATATAAATGAAGAGGATAAAGTACAGGTGGTAGTTTAAACTGTTCAAGAGAGTATTCATTATCAGTTTAAAAATAAATTTTCTCAAAGCAGAGTACAGGACAACCCCTTCGCTCTTAATCTGCGATAAAAATAACGTGCTACAGTTATATACCCTTGAGAACCCAACAATCGTGCTTATGAATTACTAATGTTGGCACAACATATGAGATCTAACAATGGTGGAAACCACAGCAGCTTATGCCGTCCTTTAATAATCTTTAGTGTCGTGACGATACCAGTTCGTTCATATAAGGTAGAATACACAACACATTATAAGTTCGCCCCCATCTCTGTGAATCCTGACATTGAAAGAACTAACCAGTTTCTGAATGACTACTAGTATTTAGTGGTATCATGCTAATAACGCGGAATCTCGGTAGTGTTTAAGATCGGTGATAACAACTTAAGCTATTCTATTATTTTTCTAACACTAATTTTAGTGGTTAAATCATGTTTCAGGCATATTATTTTCGCTGCTTCCACACCACCCATTATTTACGAGCTCCGTAAACAGGTAGAAAAAGAGGTATTTAGTGTATGGCACGTTGTCGTGGCATGAAAAATCGTACAGTATTAACAAATTTCGCTTCATCACAACTTAGTTGGAATCCCAAAGATAGTACAACTCTGCTTTGGAACGTTATTAGATTCAGATTTGTGTAGTAAAGACAGAAGGCCTACGGCCTATGTTATTCCTTTTCTAGTATGCTTCTGCGAGTGTCCAGTCTCTTCTTGAAAGAGTCAATTGAAGGTGCGGACACCACTGCTTCAGGCAACAGGTTCCAAGTATTGATGACTCGATGTGAAAACCTGTATGCCACGGGTATTTTGTTCGTTCTTGGCTTTTCTACTCGCCTGCTATGTCCTCTAAGGTGTCCCGATCTAGTGGGAAGAAAGAGAGAGAATAAGTTGGTCCAAAATCATTTCTCAGTATTCTGTACATCAAAATTAGATCTCCCCTTAGTCTGCGATAGGACAGAGTAAAGAGGTCCAGTTTTTCAAGCCGCTCTTTGTATGATAAACCCGGAGTTCTGGAATTGCACGGGTAGCTGCCCTCTGTACTTTTTCTAGTATGTCCGAGTCACCTTTAAACAGGGGCTTGCAGCCTGAACGCAGTTCTCTAGCTTAGTTCTCACTAAGGATGTGTATACTGTGGTGAACATGGTAGTATCTAACTTAGTGAATGTCCCTTTTAAAGCCCAGAGGGTTCGAAACCCCTTGGCTGCGACCTCCCGGCAATGGGCCGTCGTCTTAAGATCATTACTCACTGTCACCCCTAGATCCTTATGAGACCGGACCACGGGTAATGACACATCCCCTATGTTGTACTTATTAACCTTTGAATCCCCCAAGTGCATGTAGACACACTTTTCCGCGTTGATAGGCATCAGCCACTCTTTAGACCAGTTTATCATATTATTTAAGTCTGCCTGAAGAGTAAATGCGTCTTTGTCTCCAGTTATTACTCGCCAAATTTTTACATCGTCAGCGTATAATAACATTGGAGACTGTACTATACTTGTAAGATCATTACCATACGTTATAAAAAGTAAAGGACCTAGGACGGAACCTTGGGGTACCCCACTAAGTACTGGCCTCCAGATGGGGCACTTGAAATTCATTCTTACTTTCTGTCTACAACCTACTAGGAAATCCTCAATCCATTTTAAAAGAGTTCCCGCAATACCAAGGTTTTCCAACTTCAATAGTAGTCTATTAGTTGGCACCTTGTCAAAAGCCTTACTGAATTCTATGTAGACATCATTCACTGAGTTTCCGTTGTCCAGCACCTTCATCCAATACTCCTCTGCTATAAGGAAGTTCGTTGTACATGATAGACCCTTTCTAAAACCATTTTATTCTATGTTTAGCAAGTTATTGGATTCCATAAATGCCATTATGGTCCGTTTAACTATTCTTTCCAATATTTTAACTACAACACTGGTGAGGCTTACAGGTCTGCAGTTCGATGGAACTTGTCGTGGACCTGTTTTATGTATGAGAGTGACGATTGCGTCCTTCCAGTTCATAGGTAACACACCTTGGTCAAGTGACGTATTGAATATCACAGTCAGTGGGACTGCGATATATTGGGCAATATGTCTCAAGATTTTGGGTGTAGTTCATCCGGTCCTGTTGACTTTTCCATATTTAAGGTGCTGAGGGCCTTAAACAAATCGTCTTGATCGAAGTCCACGGTGAGCAGGTGGTTTTTCGACTCCTTATTTTGGTCTGGTTCCTTGTCTAGAGGAGGTTCCTGAGTGAAAACTGCCCCAAAATAGTCAGCCATAGCCTCTGCTTTTTCCTGATCTTCCTCTATCATTTCAGATTCACTTCCTACTTTAATTAGGTTGGGAATCCAATGATGCATCCTTGTTCTGTAGTTTATGTACGAGAATATTCTCTTGGGCTGCTTGAGTGCAGATTGTGCCAGCTGCATTTCATATTTTCTTTGAGCTTCCCGAATTTTCGTTATACACTCGTTTCTTATCGATCTGTAGCGTTCCATCGTACCTGCTGTGCCAAGGCGGATGGCAACGTCCCAGCATTTCTTCTTTTGTCTCAGTAAACGTCGAATATCCCGCCCTATCCAGGGATGTCCGTGCTTCTTTTTCTTTGGGACAGTCCAGGGTATGTATGGTTGAGTTACCCGATTGTATAACTGCCTGAATAGAGTCCATGCCTCTTGTACTGATGCCTTTGAGTCAATTTCCCAGTTTTCAGCCGATGCTGCGGAGTTAATTGCCTGCATATCTGCCTTCCATATGTTGGGACGGGCCGGTGCAACTGTTTGACAGGCAATCTCAGCCATGAATTTGAATAAGATGACTGCATGGTCACTTCTCCCAAGTGGTGGGAGAAAAGCCATTTGACCAACGTCATCACCGTGTGTGAAGACTAAATCTAAAAGAGAAGAGTTTCTTAAGTCGTATCTTGTGGGATCTCTAATGTGTTGGAATAATGCTAATCCAATCGAGGTTTCTAACAGTTTGCAGTCGAACGACGATATGGATGACCCTACTTCTAAGTTAACCCAGTTTATATATGGTGCATTAAAGTCGCCTACTACAAGGCTTTTACCGTTGTTACACCAGGACTTAAGTTTACTTAGGATAAAATCATCTGCTACACATTCTGGACTGCGATATACTACAACTACTTCAATATCTTGCCTTCGGCATTTCAACTTACATCTCACCAGTTCACATGTCCCTGAAACATGTGCTACTGTCTCAGCTAATCTTATGGTTAGGGTACTTTTCGTGTACAGAATAACCCCGCCTCCCCTTCGGTTTAATCTATCAGCCCTACTGGTTATGAAACCAGTCAACTGGATTTCACTATCTAATACTTCTGACGTTAACCAAGTTTCCGAGACAGCAATAACGTCCGGTTTTTCTTTATCCACCACTGACTTGAGCTCCGCCATTTTATTTAGTAGGCTGCGAGCATTTGTGTAGCATACCTTTAAGTCTGTGGAGAGCTTTCCCTTGCCACCCAGAGTGGCTTGGGGATCGTTTTGCTCCGAACTTTTACAACTTGAAAACCCTTAAGAACAAGGTTTCGTTCCCCGTTTTGGCGACGTTCATTTATTTCCGCTTCTGCAGCTCGTCTCTTAATACGATCAGCTAGGCTGAGATCCTCACGGACATATATTCCGGATCCAATCAGTTTACGTGAATTACTTAGAATCAGGTTCCTTTCTTCCACCGTGTTGAATGTAACCTTTAGGAGGCGGTTTTTCGGAGGACTTTCGGAATCCACCTTTTTTCCTATTCTATAAAGCTTACAAATACTAACTCCTGAAACTGTATCTGGGAGTAGTTTACTTAATGATGTCTTAATATGATTGAGATCGTGTTCAAATCTCGCCTTTGGTTCTTTATCTGAAGATTCTCTTATCTTATGAAAAATGACTGATCTCTCAGAGAGATCTGTCTTGTCACGCAGTGAGGATTTTCTTCTGATAACATCCCTTCCAATGCCTTGCTGACCAGCTGCGTTTTGCCCACAGTCTTTTTCTTCCCACTTCTTTTTCTCCTTACTGAAGTCCATTTGTCACCACTCAGGACAGCCACACCTGGACTACGTGGAACGGTGACAGTTTTATCCGGATCTTCTATTTCGACTAGAGGTGTATGACTGCCGATGTTAATATCAAGCGGAACTTCATTCCTCGTTAATGTCAACGGAGATTTCACGTTCCCGTCAACCACAGTCAGGTGTTTAACGGGTCCAGTAGCAGCACTTACTACACTGACACATTCTTCTCCGTCAGTGCTCTTGTTATCATTGCTTCCGCCATCGTTTTTCTTGCAGGCCAAAGCCAATAGGCCCATAGCCTCCTGAATTAGTACCTTTTTATCCGTACAGCAGAACATACAAAGCCAATACGAGTTAGGCTTCGAGCATCTTTTGTAAGCCGTCGGACTTAGGAGTGTATACATTTCGTGGCACCACTTTTTACAATCGTCACATTGAATTCTCTCCTCCACGAGGAACAAACAATTTGGTTGCCCACATTTGTGAGTCTTACCAACCATTGTAATTCGATTTAAAAGGTTTAAAAAACACAAAACGATCACAATGTGAACACACGTGTTAGTCAGGAGTAAAAAAAGGTACCCAGGACAAAATTTAGCAAAAAATGTCAAGCTTTAACCAAAGGACTTTAAGTTAAAGTAGACCAAGAATGCTTTTTGGTGCAATAAGTACCCAAAGCAAGTATAATCACAACAAGTACAAAAATCACTGCCCTTAGGTATGGTTTAAAATAAAACAAGTGGATATCAGACTGTAGTTTTCAAGTACATTATTCATGGGTATGAGATAAGTATCCCAGCTTGAAGAGAACTTTCAAAACTCCCTTACTAACTCGAGTTCATCATATATTGAACACAATTCTTATTTACCTATCGTATGAATTCCATTTTATTTTTCACCACTACTTTGTTTACGTGGTGAAACTTTTCCACGCTGTGTCAAAGTCTACATTTGCTACACATAACTAAATCCGTATAAGCTAGTAAAAATATACCGTCAAATTTCAACAGTAAGAAAGTACAAATCAATATCTTATCTTCACACAACCAATGTAAACCCAATAATATCAGGTTGTACGAATTCGTGGCTCCAAACAGTATGCAAAAAAGCTGTTCCACCCAAAAAATAGTAACTCGGTAAGAAATTTGGATCATGTAGTTCGTACTAATCAGTACGTTACAACAGGACCGACTTTAGACACAAGTAAGTGTTGACAAGGTGGGCGTGTCATAAATGCCTTTTAATGTGGTCACTAAAAGCTACTGAAGCAAAAACAAGAATGATAAAATACAAACATTGACAATGGAGGACCGCCCTCAATACAATAGATCTAACTAACCTCAAGTAGCCAATGTATAGAATTATTTGAAATAGCGCCTAGTAAGCAATATCCAATACCTATATCACGAGCTTGTATAAATCGACCAATTTCTTTGCACTCGCCTTTTGTTATGTCATTGTGGTTCCATGCATTTTTGTAATTTTCAGTGTGTGGTAGTCCGCCCTGCTGAACTAATTGAAGTCACTTTGGTAGTTATTTGTGGGTTACAATCTGACTGGGCTCGAGTTGTGCCTACCATGGTTGCGTGTTTGGCTGAGCTCAGTTTTGGCCATTATGATGTACTGATTGGGGTTGATACGGCTGCTTCCAATTGGCTCATGTTCATCTCTTTTATCAATTCGGTTGTTTCATTTTTCTACGCTACATGTGAAGCCCATGATCCCGAAGCCCTCCAGCTTTTATATGCTCTGTTTACCTCAGTGGAGACTATCCAGATCTCCAGGTAATTTCAGGTCAAGCTAGAATTGGGTCAGTTGATCCTTGTGTATGTAAGAATTTACCGGTATTAGTACACATCTCTTTTCTGACGGAATGAAAGGTTTGATCAAGTATCGTGAACTCGCTATGAAATGACTACCTAATATATTTGAGCTTATTTCGGGGTCGCATCATCATATATACTGATTAGTAACATCGATTTTAGGACAAAAGACACCGCATATGGTGTCAAAAGTTGTAGCAACCACGTTGCTACGGCTTAGGCGTATTAATTATAGGGTTCTGGAACCTTTGGCACATATATTACAGACGTGTTCAGTAGCTCACAAATCCTGGCTAATCGTGTCACCTGGATCATTCTATATAGATAGCAGGTAGCTCAGTTTAGTCACTGTGTATGAGTTTGTACCTTGATGACCAATATGTGTCCAAGTGCACTTGGAAGCACATTAACTGAAACTAATGCAACAGACTGGCTAGATTACTCGCACTGGATACAGTACTCCAAAAAACATGAGAAGGAAAATCAATCGATTCACACAAGACCGTTACGAAGATTTTAAATGCTGGAAAACTGTGGTTCTGTCTTTTAACTACTTACCCTGTTAATCAAAGTAAAGATCGATTGAGTTGTCTGAATCCTGGTTTACATTGGACGGTCTCTGGTAAGTTCATAGAGGTTGGCTTTTTATAGACGCCTGTGCTTGTACTGTTACGAAACAACAGAACAATGTGGAAGTCATACGTATTGGGGCGAAATTTCTATTAGTTACTTTCCGACTTCCCAAACATCTCTGTACACACCCATTGTGGCAGTTTTTTCATTTGATCCGGTTACTACTTATTGTCAACGGTTGCTTTCAATGTTGAATTGAAAATAGGAGTCAATCAAGTGAGTTAGATCACCACGTTTGGATGGGTTGTACGTGGTCTTCCCAGTCCATATTTCAGGTAATTATCTTATTCATGTGGCTAGAAGCGACGGTTATATGATGTACTGATATCAGTGCATAGAGCGGATTCCATAAAATTGATATGAAAAGTGTTCCGCCGTGGTTAGGGTAGAATCAGCTAATACATTGGATTAGTCATTTGTCTGTAATAGCAGGATTTTGCCATTTTCATCAGTCCACTATACAGTACAATAGGACGTTCGTTTTAAGCAGGCTTCATTGTGATCATTCGCGCACCATATCTGTGCTAGTGTAATCACGTCAGAATATCCCTATTCCACTTTAACTTCGGATTCTTGAGTGTTCACTTGCCTCAAGAGCATTTACTCACAAGAAATCGTCAACAAACAACTAGTAACTTTCAGGTCTTTCGTCTAACTCTTCAGCCGAGGGTTTAGCTCCGTAAGATTGTCTCTTTTTTTTACGATACTCTGTTGGCTAGCCCATTTAGGTTCAAACATTGCGATCAAAAATAATGTACTACCAATTCCAAAGCGCTTCGAGCGCATCACAAGCATAAAAGTGGAGAAGATTATTGTAAGTCGTAAACACCGAGGACTAATGTGGATATTAGACATTGGATAAAAATTCGTACCGGATTTAGTTTGTGCGTAACATGGGACGAGTTCCTCCTCTTCGTGTTGTTCCTTGTGTTATTTATTTCTTATTTCTACTGAACTCTCAAAATGCACAGAAAGAACCCAGCTGCGGCCGCGCGAAAAGTTGTAATGAATGCATGGGGATACGTCCAGCCTGTTCGTGGTGTAGTGCTGATGAATTTGATGATACGAAAGAAGGGCCAGGGTTCCGATGTGCTCCATCTTCAGTCTTATTGGCTCGTGGATGTCCACAAAGTAGTATAGAGGACGTGGAGTCTGTGTTCTTAGGTGAGCGATCTATTTACTAAGACATTGATTCATATGTAATATATTTCACTGACAATGTCTCGGTTTATAAGCAAGCTTTGGTATTTGCTGTTACTTTTCGTATTTCCTTACAACGTAGGGTACTTATTGTACGTCATAAGCAATGGAAAACAGGATATCGTACACATATGTCCTATCCGAATCGTAGTGACGAGAGGTAGAATAGCTTTTTAAGTCAGTCCCATTTTAAGACACGAATGTGTCGATAGATGGTGCTTAAACGACATTTCGAGTCAAATGGTCCAAAATACTATCGATTAAAGTAAAAACACAACTAGTCGGTCACGGGTTTAGGAGTGTTTTCATATATTTCTTTCGGTTTTAAGGACATGGAAAATGACGGCATATCAGGTTCAAAAGTAGTTCGAAGTAGGTAATTACTTCACTTCTAGTCCTTGATGATGAGGTGAACATTTTTCGCTAGCATATTCTCGTTATATGGGAGCTTTAAGACTCCAGAAACCAACGTGGTTGGGGTTTATTAAATTCTTATTCAATAACGGTCTATTTTTCACTTAAGTGCAGGTTGTCTATGTGGAATATTCAAATTTCAATCTGCTAAACGTCAAATATTCGATCAGTTTTCCACCCAGACAACTTAAAGCTAATCCGTTTGTCCACAAAATTAGTTTTTTGAACTCCAACACTTTAACTTACATAGTAATCTGGCATGAGTCCTTGTCAAAAGCCTTACCGAAATCATTTACGGTTATATTCACAGGCAGATTTTTGTTCCAACAGTCACTAGCTTTTGTGTCAACAGTAGGTTCGTGGGACGTAAGTAACGTGTTCTGTAATCATGTTGCTTTCCGGGAAGTATCAGGTCTTCATCCCGATATTTGAATAATTCTTTACTAATCTCACATTTCGATAAATATACTGGTCAAACTTAACGATAATTTTCAGGGTTATGCCACACACCGGTTTTGAAGACGGGACTTACTATATCGTTTTCTCATTCCCCTGGTAGTCTATCTCGGATTGCAGAAAGTCAAAGGATTTTCTATGACAGATGGTAGTTCCTTTAGTAGCCTAGGATGGTCCTGTAGTTGGGGCCTGTAAATGCTGTAATGTGTTTGGAGACGTATTATATAGTGCGAACTAGTTAAGTGTCTCAGTTTCATTTATCCTGTAAGCCTTGACTCAAGTGTCGTTCCTAACTTGACGCTTGCCATACTTAGATTTTCACCAGGTTTGATAAAATTTTCCTTCTTTTAAACATATTGGTTTCTTCTTGCGCAGATGAAGTATGGTAACAAACTGACGGGTATTCATGATAGGTCCCACCTTTACTGTGAGTTTGGGTTAGGTGCTACGTGTTGATTCGTAACTGAAATGGCGTCTACCACCATAAAAAAAGTTTTCATTTCATTTGTGGTTCATGTCATTAGTGGTTCGAAGTTAGTTGCTACTTAGAAATGTGTCAATATTTTATTCAGTTCTGTGTGCCACGTAAACAAATGTTGGGCGCCTCCACCATAGGTGTGCCTGACATCTGGTTACCTGGCGTTTGTCATGTAAATGAATCTTTGGATGGAAATCATCCAAGTTACATACATCTATGTTTTTAATAATCCAAGGAGTCGTCCCATCATTCTCAGTTTTTAGTATTGTGGGAGGAATGGGCTAATTTTTAATCTTATTTGTTGTTTTGACTATAAATTTGTGCATGATAAATATTTTCAGATCATGGAGTTCCTCTTGATCAAGCCAGTTCAGCCGAAGATATACAACTTACTCCACGATCACAATCAATAAAGGTCAGACCTGGAGGGACTATGATGGTCAATTTCACATTCCAGTCTATTTCGGATTACCCTGTTGACCTTTATTTTTTGACAGATCTCAGTTATACAATGATTGATGACTTGGAAACAGTTTCTCGTTTGACTAACGATATCGTGTTAACTATGCGTAATGTAACAAAAAAGTTGCAAATGGGATTCGGCGCCTTTGTAGACAAACCAGTGTTTCCCTTTGTTGTGCCGACTCCAGAATACCTTCGAAATCCATGTTTGAATGTTGGTACTAAAATCTCCATTGCGATCCTCCATTCTTGTACAAACACATTTTGTCACTAACCGATAATTTTGAGGAGTTCCGCGAAAAAACAAAAGTAGCACGTGTAAGTTTTAGTCCATCTGTAGCTTTGTTTATGGTTTATCCGCACCGTGCTAAGATTTTTGTATAGCCTGTTTTTTTGGAAGTGTCTCAAGGTGTGTTACAAAAAGAATCATAGCCTTTCTTGGATTGAGCGACAAGTTTCCATCTGCACCCATCACTTTAGAATGATGGTTTCGTTTATTGCATAGACCCATTGGGGTTATACCAGTCTAAACATTTGCTAATTGGATTCTTGCTATGGTACAACGGTTAGTCGAAAATCAGTGCAGTTGTCAGAAGTTATTGTATGAATAATAGAAACCATAACTCTAACAGCGATGTTAAGCACGAGTTTTTACTGTTGACTGCGCCCTTGCAAAAATGATGGTCTTTCGTAGGTGAATCAAATTCGTGGTGATTTCACCTTCCAACTTTAGTAAGAAGGATATGATATTAATTTATTCAGATAAACGTATATCAAGTTTTGAGTCTCCGTCCGTTGTGAAATCACTTAAAAAGTAACTGAGAGTTAGAAAAACCCATTATTTCTAAAAATGAGTTCGATGAGTTCCTAACAAGTACATTTTGCACTGTGGTTGCTCACCTAAATTGGAAAAATA